TACACACTGGACCTTTAAAATTAAATGTTAACTAACTCTCACAAATCAATTTACATACTGCAATGAAAAAGAAACATATGGCTGCTACAATGTAGAAAACATTTGAAAATGTGAAAAGAAGTGTGGTATGCTTTAGAAAATGGTTGGCAGTGAAGTATGTGTGACTTATAGTACAAGCAATAAATGCAAAAACCCCGGTATGGTCCTTTAACAATCCATTCTCTTTCACCCTTGATATGTTGGTATGGATAACATTTAACCAACAGCGTGGGTTTGAAAATATGTTCAGGATGCTCAATCAATGAACTGCTTTATCAACATCTCTGCTCTCTAACCCTTCAAGGCAAAAAGGCAATCGTCGATGACATTCAAACTGAATCTCAGGTTTTGTTGGCCTGATGTGTGTAGCCCTCTGTGATGCTGTCCTCCTCCACCCGGACTCGCAGGTGCTCCTGACAGTGTTCTAGGAAAGAGTCCAGTGCTGAGAAGCCCTGCTGGCAGGGCACGCAATGGTACAGCCTGTGTCTCTTTGATCCCGGCCACTTACAGGTGTCCATCTCGTTGGTGCACACGCTGCACTGTCTCCTCTTCACCGACGACTGATGGAGCTCTACGTGCTCCCGTAGCTGCGACTGCACAGAGAAAACCTCTGCACAGGAGGGGCATGGGAACTCTCTCTCAACCTCCTCCTCTTCCTCCTCCTCCTCCTCCTCCCCCTTCACTTCAGGCACTTCTCTGCATCCCCCTGGTTCAGTCCTCTTGTTCTCTACTCTGGCCACTTTCCTGGGCCTCCCTGGACCAGCCCTAACAGTCTTGTTACCTGCTAGACTGGTTTTTTCTTTATTTGGTCTATTTTCTGATAACTTGGAGTCTTTGGTGGTGCACCCTTCAGACTGGCTTTTGTCTTTGATTGTGGTAAAGCCAGAGGCTGTGTGCTGTCTGTAATGTGCCCTAAGTGACAAATGATGGACGAAGATTTTACCGCAGACCTGACATGGATACGCGCCTCCCCTCCTGCGCTTGCTGATGACTGGCCTTGGCTCTCTCCGGATGTTTTTCTCTCTGCTGTGCTTCTCCTTTCTGTGCAGGTACAGCTTAGAGGTGCTCCTGAAAACCATGTCGCAAGAGCGGCAGTTCAGAAGCTTCGTTTTGGATTTTGGCCTTTGTATTGCATCTCCATTCACCTTGGTATTCCTTCCTTTCCACGCTTCTCCACCAGTGCCTTCTCCTTTGGTCTTTTGCCCCTGTGGAGCTATCCGCTGCTCCTCTGCGTGGCTCGTATGTTTGTGGCGCTGCAGTCCAGCCTCTGTGCGGAAGCTTCGCGAACATAACTGGCACATATTGACAGCTCCCCTGCTGGACTCCGAATCGGAGCGGGTAGAGTCTCCCTCAGAAACCGGTGGAGAATCATCCGGAAGGCTGCTGGCATCAGCCATATCTGACGGCGACGGTGGTTCGCTGCAACCAGCCTGCTGATGATGCAGCAGAGCTTGCTTCTGGCTAAAGCCCCTCCCACACGGGGCACATGCATAAGGGCTACCGTCCAAGAGGTGAGGCTGCCGGTGAGGGGACTTGTCCTGCGGCCTGCCTGGATCCGTGGTGTGAGTTGAACACGCAGCACATGGAGAACCAAGCCGCGATTCTCCGTAACAAAGCTCACACAGGGAGGGATCACGATCACACTTGTGTAGCTGTAAGGACGACCTCAGGGAGAACTCCTGCCCACAAGAGGGACACCGATGAGGCTTGGGTAATGTGTGCTTCAGTTCCTGGTGGTGCAATAGATCTGTCGCATAAGAGAAGCCCTTACCACATTCTTGACAAACATATGTGGCTAGGTGGGATGCCTGCTGCCTCTGGTTTCGTGTGTGCTGTTTAGTCTCAGCCCGTGCGATGAAACTGGCCAGCTTGGACAGCGTGTCTGCTGCTGTCCCGGATCGGCTGAATGACTCTGGGGCCCTCGTGGTGCTCCAGCTGACTCCATCCATCCTCTTTCACCAAGCTTCTCCTGCTTTAATTGAGATGATAGACAGACAGAAGGAGTGATTTATTCATCACCGAGGAAATGTAGGCATCTAGTAGCTCATTCACGACAGATACAAAATAAAACAATACACACAGGAACGTAGGGCTGTATGTGATGTGTATATGGTGATATGATTTATATCCTGCCAGATAGTGTTTTTGGATCACAATTTTTCACTTAACTGAAAAAACAACTTAAAATCATGATGATGTGACACTGGTAGGGGTCTGTGACAACACACGTTTTATTACATCTGTAGGTCAGAAGAAGAAGAAGAAGAAGTACCTCTGCAGAGCTACAGTACTTCATTATTGGTCACATTTTACCTTTATCAAAACATTTCAGCTTCTGGCATTTGGAAACTGCACTTGGCCATATTGCAATTTGGATAATATTTCAATGAATTGTGTAGCACAAAAAAGAACACAGAAGTGAAGTGATGATCTAACCACAGAGCTGTCACTGTAACAGTATGTGCTGCTGCAAATGTGAAGTGATTAACAGTGCAGGTATTGCAAATGGACAGGCTAACAGAGCCAGCCCAGCTCATGTACACAGAGTGATACTATTTAGTAAGGAGAAGTTGGAAGTTGGAAACCACACAAATGCATGAGGCAAAATAAAAAGCTACGGCATTCAGCAGTGTTCTGTTAAAACGCATTAAAGCTGAACGGCACACATCTGCTATCAAGTCAATAGCTAACTAGTTTCGAGAGCAAAAGGGGAAACGTGCCTTCTTTTTAGCCCCTTCCTCTATCTTGCTAACGTTGTCGATAACTGCTAGCTAGCTTTAATTTTACAGAAATACATTAACTCTGTTAAATAGTAACAGGACAGCAAGAGGTCCATTTAGTGACAAATAAATGCTACAATAACACTGCAGCAAGATTAGCTACCAACGGTGCTGCGCGACCACAGGCTAGCTTCGTGTCTGCTAACGTTAGCTCGTTGCTAGGTGCGCTAACGTTTTATAAATGCATTTTGCATTCAGAGCAGCTCACCTCGGCGCTCAGACAGACGCGGTGCGGCGGTAAATTCCCAGCTGCTTACACTCAGACAGTGTGGTCCGTTGGCATTTTGCTTCGCTAACATAAACCACACTGGCATGGCTGCAAAAAGTGAAACCTAAGTTTATGAGGGAGGGTTAACTTCTCTGAGCTCTCCGCATCACGTCCGGCACGTCACATCGCCACTTCAAAACAGCCTCTGAGCTTCAACGTTCAACGGGACCTTCTACGTGTAGGGCGGCCTATTAGTGCCATAAACATACCTTGTTACCATGCATACAATAATAAATTAATATATTCTTGTTTTAATCTTAACCATACATGTGGAATTTATCTTTCCAATAATATGTTAATGTGTATTTTCAGACATATTTACATTTTTGAAAATAAAAACGTATAATATGAAGTAATAATTGACAGATTCATATATTTTTAGAATTTTAACATTAATTTCTAATATGTTGGATTCATGTTAGAGTATTTTCAGCCATTAAAGTTTAAAAAACTAAAAACTTTTAAAATATTAAAATAATAGATTAATATATTCCTGTTATAACTATTAAAGGTACATGTATTTTTGAAAAATACAAACTTTTGAAAAATGTCAACAACAACCCCTAGGGGTTGCAGATGTGATATTGTTTTCCCCAGGATGGCTAAGTAATATAATATATACAAATAATATAATTTATATACAATATAATTTATCATTTACATTTCACATAAGATAAATAGTATATTTTGTTACATTGTTTGTATGTTGTAATAATGTGAACATATGTTATTGTAATAATAAACCTGTTTTTCTTTTTTCAGCAATATGCTTCCGTACTTTACTGAGTTACTAATTTGCTGCTATGAAAATGACTGAAGTGAGTTATTTGTTTGAGCAGACCAAAATAAACCTTTAATATCTGTGATTATATATCCCCCCACATACACATATACACAAATGCCAAAATAAAGAATAACAATCGTTTAATATAAACAAAAAGTTAATATACAGCAGGTACTGTAATAATTTAAGTATTCTTAATTTTAGGCTGAAGCCAGCACTGACTACTAAAGCACTCTAAAACAGATTATATTGGCCCAATAAATTTGGCATATTATTGTTGAAACAGCATGAACACTTTTGAAAAAAATCAACAAGTTTTCACTTTGTCAGCCTTTAGATACTAATATCACATTTTGAGGACATACGACCTTCAGATAAAAACAGCATGGAGTGAACAATAGCATTTCAGTAGTGACACAATCAGTTGGCGCACCTGAATGAAGAAGACCTACTTTAAGGCTAGAGGCATACTGTTACACTCACAAACACATTCAAAATGTTTCAGATGGGTTTAAAGGAGATTATATGCTGCTTAACTGAAAATGAAGAAACCATTAAAAAGGTATATAACAGTTTTAGATGTTTCCAAAAATTATAATGATCTATTTCACAGTCTCAATTTACATACCATAATATCTAAGATTTACTCCAATTAATATAATGCCATAGAGGACCTTCATGACATTATATTTATATATAATTCCTGGATGATGATAATATTAAGACTTATTCTAACCATGGAAGATAGTTAACCAGGGTAATAGCCAAGAATCTAGGTTGCATTAAATCCGGATTTTAAATTCTGCTAGTGTTTGGTTCAATTCATCTAATAGGGAAACCAAAGTACCAAAGGCTCATGATTGTCATATCTTTCAAACATACACTGTGTTATAATTAGCACTGGTAATGAAGGTAGATGAGTAGTAACACACATATTCACACCCCACCCAATAAAACAAAAAACAATGCAGTTACAAATGTTTCTTGGATCAGGTCACTGACTGGAAAAAGTCACAGACAGAATAATAACCCTAACCTGAACCTTAGACAAATACAAAACACAAGCAATAATGATAACAAAGCATTTATCCATATACACTTTAAAAGACAGGAGTACATTACAAATGCAAAGGCATTGTCATACATTGTGAGCTGCACTGTGTCCACAGGACTGTCTCAAGTAGGATGGTGTGATTAAACGTCCTTCAGTACCGGCAAGCACGGAAATTTTCATTTGAAAAATATCTTCAAGCTCATCAACAAATATTAAAATTATTCTAAACTGAGGAATCAAACAATTCAACTATTTTTTATGCATATGCAGTTTTTACAGTGACCACAGGTATCTAATTCATACATTATTATAACATAATTTATAAGATCCTACTCTCATAGTTATGCATAATAAACAAAGTTTGGTAAAATCAACACACTCAGGCCAAAACAGACCAGTTGTTACTGATCTCATTTTTTATGCCAGTTATAGTGAAATTATCCCTTTACTGATCCCCCGTAGGAAAGTTCGCTCTCTGCATTTCACCCTTTCTAGGAGCAGTGGGCAGCCACTGTACGCTGTCAGTTATAAGCCAGTGTCTTAGTCAAGGTTACTGACAGGAGAACTGAACAACACAGGTTTCTGATGGAGTGGGAAACCAGAGCACCCAGAGGAGACCACGCAGGGCTGTCCCAACCAGGATTCAAACCCAGGGGCGTCTTGAGGAGACATCGCTTAATCACCGTCTGCCATAAGAGTGTTAAAGCTACAATAGTAACTTTTATAAAATAAGTTTTTGTCATATTCGCTGAAACTTTCACTATATCCTGACAGTAGTACACGAGACAGATAATATGTGAAGAAATCTGGCTCCTCCTAGTGGTTTTCGTTCAGGGCCAGTGGATTCTTGCAAATACCATTAGGAAATATGACAAAAAGTTATTCTTTATAAAAATTACCTACTGCAGCTTTAATATGCACCACAATCTAATTAAAATAAAACAGGTGAATTTAAAAGCTACATTAACCAGAAGGTGTCCATTTTTGCCTGATCTGAGGCAGTAATCTTCACATTTTACCTCTGTTGATATATATGAGCTATACCCAAGAGTCTCATTGCAATGGCTACACAAAATCAGCTCCTCTACATTTAACCTAAACAGCCTGAAATAAAACACAGAATCCACTATTTGTACTATCTGCTACTCTTGGGTCAATGCCAATTAAACTGGCTGATTCAAGTCCAAACTAAGGACTTTTATAAGTTGATTGTACAGTGCAGATTTGGTAACCCACAGCTTGACAGTGTCGGACTAAATACATTTTAAAAGAGAAAATGACAAAGTATTGCCTGATATTTTCTCCTTGTAAAACAACTACTAAAACAAATCTGAAAAAAAAACTGTAGATATTATCTTTGCCTAAAAGGATGATTTCACAAACATTCATCATTCCTTTATAATACAGCAAGTTCTTCTGAGTTTACATTTCACTGCACCAATCAATGGTGTATGCCCAAAAACAATAAAAGTAAACCAAGATGGCATAGCAATGTTTTTTTTTTACTGTAACAGTCCTTTGATACAGTGCAGTACGTTGACTGCAAATAGTCTCATATTCACTGCGCTTTACAGGTACACCATAAACCCAAATCCAATGTGACATTCACTGGACTTCACTTTCACAGGATTACGATTTGTGGCTCTGAGCTAACATCCTGCAGGTGTCCTGGAGCTGTGCTTGAATATGTCTTCTCCGGGTTACCTTACTTGCAGTCTGAAGCATATTGAGATGCTGTGGGTCCATCCAATCACAGTCGGGTAAAGGCACTCAGCCTCGGGTCTATCTCTTGTAGTGGCTGGGTGCGTCTGCGAACATGTACTTTAGTCTGTAAGCTTCAGCCAGGAGGAGACCCACTTCCTCGTTACCCCAGTGGATTGTAGGTAAGTTCTGGAGTAGCATAAGAAGGCCCTGAAGAGCAAAAGAGATTTACTTAATTGACAATTACATTATAGGGCGGCTGTGGCTCAGAGGCAGAGCGGGTCGTCCCCCAATCAGGAGGTTGTTGGTTCGATCC